AAACACTTTCATTCATTCATCATATTCCCGATCACAACCGACAAAGCAGGTACTGGAAGTACTGTATAACGTGTTTTTCGGAAAAGATCGATTTCTGTGCCTAAGTTTTGGAGCTGGTTACACCAATCCGTTTTTCATACGAAATGAGCAATGGGAGTAGGGATCATCGCACTAGAGGGTTTGGGATCGCGGAGATTACAGCAACATACTGACTTCCAAGCGGGGTTAAGGATGACGCAAATCGTGTAACGACAGCTCCCGCATATGAAGGGAGGATGGTTAAGTTCATATTCTGGGTCAGGTGTCGGGGAAAGCTACGTAAGCGAAGCTCGACGTCATCAAGTACGGAGAAGCAGTGATATTTCATGGGGGCGCAAAGCAGTGGATCGTGTGCGCAGACCTACGTAACATACAGCTAGATCGACATGGTGACCGATGCTGTTTGTATCGCAGTGGCAAACTTCGAGGAATTCTCGCGGCCGTTTGTTGTTAGCTGTGGCGCTTAATGCAGTTCCGTCCCTACATATATGTAGGTTCTTTTAGAAAAAGGGAAACTGTATTTGGTAAATTTACGTCGTCAGACTTCAGTAAATTTATAAAAAAGGAGTTAAACTTTCAAATATACTTAAATATCCGTACGCATTCCCCGTTTGCGCCAATAAACTGTCGTCGTGTGCGTCTCGCCCTATTGAGAAGTCCTCATATCTTTCAGTTTTTTCTGATATTTATGCACACAGTATCCAGCGCAATGTACCGATTGAGGCATGGCACATTCGGGTGCATGGTCTCAAAAAGTTCTCGGTCTATTTTGGCGGTGCAGGCAATGACGATGCGAGTTTTGTCCAAGGTAAAGTTGTGCCTTTGCCAAAGGTCCGCATGGCCACTTGGGGCAGGTGCTCACGCCTTTTGACTACAGTTGATGTTCGTGAATGCGTGGGAAGACAGAGGTTCCTATCTAAGCTTTCCTGCAAACGACTTCTTTCTTATCAAGATGAATAACCGTATCCAAAGGGTTAATCAGCTGGGCGCGTAAAGTATTTGTCGGTTTAAGCGCCAAGTTTGCTTCTTTCAAAAATTTCGGTCATGCTCTTAATGCATAGAAGTGTTCGATGGTTTCTTTGGTTTGGGCACCTGCTCGGAAAAAAATCTAGTTTTTTATATTTTCTTCAAATTCTATCGTATTCGCTGCATTAGATTTAACCAATTTTTCCCTTGATCGGCCGATTATGTTCGGAAGTTGGTGAGAGCTGTGACCATTTTGCTACTACAATTGCGATTGCGGCGCGAATGAAGCGATTCCTCGTGTAGTTGACCAAATGCGGCGAACAGATGCCAATGCTCACGTTGTGGATCATTCGACGAGACCCAGCCACACATTCAAATCTGATGAGGTCCACATTCTCGCAAGAAGTGATAACCGTGTGAGCCGAGAATTACTTGTGTCCTGGTTCAGAGGTCCCCAGTCCGTAAACAAGTGCAATGGCTCGCCCAATCCATATTCGGTGTTGGGGTTCAATTTTATCAAAGCAAGTCACCACTTGGGGAACGCACAGGCCACAGCGACGTCTTACGCCAGCACCGGGAAACCAGATGGCCGAGCAATCATCGCGTCCGATTCCACCACGCGCGTTGCAGGTTCAGCAGGTCATGGACGGCATGCCGGTCAGCAAGCAAGTACGCAAAAGAGGTCAGTTATCTTTAATTGTAGTTGTCATAGGTGTGCAGTACTGACTAAAATAAAGCAAATCTGCCAAAATCTCTTAACAATTAAGTCAGCCTGGTAGTCATTCTGGTGGATTCTAGATGATTGCCTAGGAAATCCTGCTTGG